GACCGCCGGGTGCTGACGGTCGCCCAGAATGCGGATGCAAAGACAAGGAAGGCGACCAAGAACGCGGAGGTGGCCAAGGGGACACTTCGCGTCGACCGCTTACTCGGGAACGTGGAGTTCGCCGGCATTGAGGTGTCGAGCGCAAACGGGCAGTGGAACGTACTGCTTCGACCTTGCCACCGCTATAAGTGAACAGCAGCCTGATGCAGGCTTACGCTTCGATTCATATATTCCTCTCGAAATGACCTGTTCATCCCAGGACCTCGTGTTACTACACCTAATAACCCCTACTTATCTGTATCCACTATCCATCGTGTCCATTATCCAATCGTGTCCGCTCCAATGTAATCAATTTGTCTCCCCGCGCAATATTTTCAGTTTCATCATGTCTACCAGGCAGTGTAGATGAACGTTGACGGTATGCTGTTGAACTGTCGACGCTGTTGAATTGTGGCTGGGGGTTCCACGCCTTCATCGGAGGCTTATGCTATCCTCATTTCGCTCGATCTGACTGTCCATCCGTTGGCTGCGCTATGTCAAAACAACAGAACTCGCACCGCATACTTCCCATTGTTGCCCAGTACTTGCTTCCAGAGCTTCCAGAGTGTCGGCGTTGGCTCTGAGATTATCAGCCCTTAATCGAATGGTCTCAGAAATGTGGACCAAACTCCTCGACTTCCGGCTGGGCTGAAACTTCCCTGAACGTTCTTGGTTGAAACCGGTTCAATCAAAAGCAAGGAGCGCGTATGGTCACATCACGTGGCGTGACTGTCGCGTGGTCGCGTGAGAGTGGACAGGGGAGTGGACGTTGCTTCAGATGCTGGATTCGCACTAAATATGCATCAATTTGGCGGCCGTGAGTATCCTGGGGATTATTTGGACAATGAATAAGATTAATACACTTGAACAGGGTCAAGATGGGGAGGGTACGGTACATTCTGCAGTCGGAATTGTATACAAATAATTGGGACGGCAGAGACGGCAGGGACGAAATAATAAAGTGAAACTAAAGAAGAGGAATTCAGAACCGTTTTATCTCTTCTGCGCCGCAATTTCCTCTGCCAACACCTCGTCCGGATCCCGCCCGCGAACTTCGGGGAGGAGAAGCGTGGATAAGGCTCCGGCTATACAGCAGCTGAAAAAGACTAGCAATAGCAGACATCCACAGATGAATGGCAATCGGGGGAAATATATAAAACGACGCACTCCAAAGGACTTTGTCTGTACCGATGGTCATACTAAGCGAGTTGAAAGCAAGTGCGCTGATTATCGCTCCGGCCTTGCCTGCCGCTGCAGACAATCCGTGCGCGGAGGCACGGAACTTTGTCGGGAACACTTCCGCTGGATAGCACTGGCATCAAGACGTATCAGCCGAGTTTTGGTTTGAATAACAGAGTCCTCACGTATGTGGTTCTGTATGTCGCCCGGCTCTCAGCGCTGAAATCGGAATAGCACTCGGAACTCACGTATTTGCTCCGAAATTGAAGAAGAACTAAACCTCGCAGTGAGCCGAGCTTCAAGTTTGAGGATGCAAGCACAAACCTGGAGTAGCGCGAAACAAACGATGAAACCAGGTTTGCTCAACGTATGAAATTTAGCCGCCAAGATAGCCACTTGAATTGATCTATCAGCCGGCGGCTGGCAAGTAGAATGGGACAACCAACAGAATAACGCGGCCATTAGGAACCCTTGGATCTGGATCCATTTCCGTCCGAGCGTCTCGATCAATAGTATGGATGCGTAGTAACCTGCATTTTCACGGTTCATGATCAAGCTCGAGTCGAAGACGATTCGCGAACGATGCATACCAGGGACAAATCCAAGAGCTGTCACGATGATGTTTCCCGTTGAGATCTTGAACAGCTTCTCCCAGGGTGTTCCCGTTTTCCCGTCAAATCCAATCTGCTGCAGCACGACATTCTGGTTGAGGTTGATTCCGTAGAACCTACTCACGGTAAGATATTTTCACATATATAAGGAAGCTAACGTACGCAATGTCGAGGAGGAACCAGCACAGGCATGTCCCAATGAGCAGCTTCGCATGCCGCCATTCGCCGAAGTAAACGAGGAATTCTGTCCTGAACATCAATAGCGGGACGCCCGGATGAAGTAGGAAGACATACCGCGGAAGTGCGCTTTCTTTTGGACTATTTCCGCCACCTCAGTCGAATGAGCTGCCGTATCTGAATCCTCCGCGGAATCCTTGATATGAGGGAGCTCCATGGCATTTGTGGGTTGGTTCTGGGCCTCGATGAAGCGTGTTGCTTCCGGAAGGGTGAGCCGTTGGTAGAGAGTCCCGAAGGCCGGGATGAGCGAGAGGCCAACGACGATGCGCCACACTAGAGAGCAGAGATGTGAGATGGCTTGCATCAAGCGGTGCATCACGTACCGCCATCGACCTTGCTGGTCTTTCCTTCATCGTTCATTACATGTTTATAGGCTGCCAGGACGACGATTGTCACTAGAGATCCGACCAAGGACCCCCATCCCTGCGATGGGAAGTAAAGTGAAGGTCAGCAGAGTCTCGAGGTCATTAGCAAAGTTCTAGACCTGATTGGAGAAAATGTACGCGAGCATGGTCCCTCGTTTCCGCAGGACGGCTCGATCACTCGTGATTGATGCGCTCATGGGGTAGTCTTATTGAACCTCAGCCCGAGATCTTAGACAGGTTCTAGGGACATACCTCCACCTACACCGATGCCGAGGACGATCCGGAAGACCGACAAATATATGAGGCAGGAGTCGGGGGACAACGATCCTGCGCCGACATGGGTAATAATATTCCAGATTAAATGATGAATCATACCAGTAGGTGTGGTGAGACACATTATGGTGGCGAAGATGATGAGCATGAGCTCTTTCCCGTCTACGAAATGCGCAGATAAGCAGGCGAAGACTCATACAAGACACGGCGCTTGCAGATTGCTTTCCGGCCGAGCGAGTCAGCGAGGTACCCTAACCCGAAATTTAGTTGGACATTTGCAGCGACATGCGGAATATGAATCGAACCGAAAGCAAACTGGCCAATAACACTCCCAATGTTAGCACCGGCCTTCAGGAGACCTTGGAGCCCGGCAGGGAGATCCTTTCCGTCGTACAGTCGGTATTGCAGCATAGTAGCCACGGGCTTGGATTTTCGTTAACGAACCGCAAGTAAAGGGACCACCACGGCCTACGTTGATGACGAATAAATCGCTACGCTGAGGCGTTAGACGACGTGCAGAAATGAATGACTGGACAACGGACTATGCGTCTAGAAAGAATCCAACCTTCGCAGTTGCCCGTGAGCACATGATGGATGGGAATGATATCGAGCACGTACCCCCGCGATCCCAAGCAGCTTCACCTCCGCATACGTCAGTAAGAAAGCCGGTCTTGTACCACTCTCATTCTCAAAGTTCTCCAGTTTAGAGCGACGTCTGCCAGCGCCTTCGACGGACTCCATCGGCGATGACTGTAAGTATCGGGAGAATGGTAGAGGTCGCGAAGTCGTAACCAGGGGGGCAAACACAGCCTGATTTATAGCAAAACGGAAACCGTAGGAATCGGGCCAGTGATTCGGAGTGGAGTCCGTACGTAGCCGAATGTTGTTTGCGGCATGATATCGCACGGGTTTGCCGCCGCTCCCCGAGCGCGACAGACAGGAGTCTGCCGTAGTGGGCTCCAAAGGCTGATTGATAAGGGCATCGCCCCCTCTGCATCGTCCTGCTCATTTGACCATAAGCAAAAAATGGAACAACGGCGACCTCACGGTCAGAATTATCCCACCCTTGAACGCACGTTCGACTGTCGGTATGCCGTCACGCCTGGCCTGTGCGATGTCGGATTTTAGCTGGGAGTTGGTCGAACGCAAAGAGAAAAACTGAATCATGATTCCACGGCAACTTCAAGCCTGCATGACCGTAGAGAAGGGCGCCAGCGGTCGTGTACAAGACCATGAGCGTGAAATCTGCACTCGACGCCGGAGCTGATCCTAAATAAGTTTAGGGGATCTACGAAAGAGTTCAGCACCAGGGATCTCAGTAGCATAAGTACTAGCAATGTGAACGATTAGATTCAAACTAAGAGGAGTATTGAAAGAAATTGAGAAACCCAGCAGAAGACGCACGTTCGAATATTCCGTGATATTTCGTTGACCGCCTGTCATTGCGGGTCATCTAGGACGTCAGAATAAAGTCAGCAGGCCAATCGAGATACCACAGCTATGCAAGGCTTTGATTGCGGCGTGTTGTGTGAATGGGAGTATTCCTCGCGGAAGATAATGTAATCATGGTAGACGGATTTCTGAACGCGATTTCTGAACAACAACAGACAAGATATACGCGGGAAATCTCGTTGACCTCACGTCGGGAATAAGTCACAGTAGAGAGTCGCTCAGAGGACTAGACTAGTAGACTGACCAGAGCGCGAGATACTTGAGGTCTGCCATGCCGATAATAACATGAATTGCGATCAGATTCTTCTTAGCGGAGCAGGCGAGAACACCAGCATCATAACGGGCCGCGCGCAGGAACAGACAACAAGCCACCCAATGGAGTGAGAGGTAAGAAGAGGCAAGACTCAAGAAGTCGTACCGCCACCGAATGCCCGGCGCGGTGGTGCCGACGATTACATCACGTCAACTATCAATATTGTGGATCGATTTAAATTTCGGATTGGGTTCATTTTTTAGGCGAAGGCCTGGCGGTGAGGATATTGCGACGTAATTCTCGACGTTGCTGAGTGAGCGGCATGGAGAGCTGCCTTTATAAAATTAAAATTAACTTGAAATTACATAACTTCAACTCACGATTCATCTCGAGTCGAAGCGGAGTTCGTTGCGATAGGAATACGACCTGGTAGCGAAGTCTATCGCGCCCCCATTTAGTCCTCGGGTCCAAATTTTGAGTGGGGGTTCTTGGTTCGAATCCAGGTCAGCTCATCGGTGGGTCTTCAAGCCTTTTAGGACTCGACTCACAGTTCATCTCGAATCAAGGCCGGTATCGTTAGTGGGTGAATCAGACCTGATAGTGAAGGTTACCGCGCCCGCTCCTCTTGCTTGAGAGCACTGCGTGTAAACTCCGCGGGATTTCCTGGTTCGAATCCAGGTCAGGACATGGTCTTGCGCTCCTAAACTTTTTGAGACGCGCCTCGTAAAGTCATCTCGCTCGGGCTAAGGCAGCCTTTGGTTTTCCACAAGGAGACCTGGGAGGGAAGGAGAGCGCGACCGCATTTATAGGCGGGGATACGTGGTTGAAATTCAGGACCGGTCATTACCTACCTACTAGGATTTGGACCTGAACTCTCAATGTAATGGAAGAAAAAGCCTGCTAGCGAATTTTCCATGTAATTTTGAGGGGGGACACCATATCCTGGGGGGTCGATTCACAATTCATCTCCAGTCAAAGCAGGGTTTTCTTGCGGTAGGAAGAAGACCTAATGGCGAAGGGTACCGCGTATTATATTCCGGAAACAGGAGTTGTCATACAAGAAGGTCCTGGTTCGACTCCGGACTAGGTCATTCGAGTTCTGATCGTTGTGTTTACCACCGCTACATGTACATCCTCACCTCTTACTATTTCTTAACTATTTCGGCCCTCCGCCACCCAAAATCTAGCGCATACCGGTCGCTTGAATACCCAGGATAGGAATTAGGTAGGAATGGGTTGATGTAGCGTCATTTCCTTCGCGATTTCATACCGCCACGTGGACGGAAAGACAAGGGGAAACATTTGGTGGATTCAAATTGGGCAGCCAAGCCGTGAAAAATGGACATACATGTACATAAGAAAGTTACAGCCACGTCCGACAATATTCCCGAGGTGAGGACGAGAAGCCTAGAATCTAGGCCTCGAGACTCCATCGCAGTTTATCAATTCAACGTCCATCCAGAACTTCTGTATCCCGCGAAGATGACGATGAATGCCAGTCAGGGCAGACTGAAAGTCCCTTCGACAGGAGCACCGCATGAGCGACGTGGTCCGGTCTTTCCACTACGCGACGATTCAGCGTTTCATGACAAGCCGAATAAATAAATCGTACTTCGCAGCTTTTCCTCAGCAGTGCTTCCTGCGAACCAGAAGAGCAGATAGACGGATCGCCCGTACTTCGTGAATTCCAGTGACAGGTTTTCATAGCCCTTCAAAAGTCTGGACAGGCCCGTCGTCAGTGGCGACAACGCCTTTCGCCAGGTCTTCGGGTCGCATGCCTGGCTTTGAAGGTGAGTCTCGACCAAAGATTGCGTGCGGGATAGAGCGGTGCAGTCCTTGGTTAACTCGGACGCACGTCTAACGAGGTTGGTGCCAGCCTTGAGGATCTTCGGGGAGCCAGAGTACTGCCGAGAAGTGTGGTGGATGGTCTCGAGGCCGACCTCAATTTTTTGAGCTTGCTGTTCCTGAGCTCGGAATTAGTTGACATCGAGGATCGGAGTGCGAGGACTTACGACAGACTCACTCATATCCCTGTCTGGAGGATTATGTGGTTGCTGACTGGTCGCAGACTTGAGGTCTCGATCGACCTTCTGCCAAAACTCTTGTGAATCCTTCAGTCGCTGGCAAGGCTTTTATCGATCTTCTCTAGCTCGTCGCATATCTGCTGGCTCTCCGCCGCTGTGCTCACTCCTTCTCTGAAGCCGGCCTTCCTCGCTGAGTTTTACAAATCAATACCCCGAAAGAAAGGTAGAACGTCGTTGGAGACTCACAAGCCTTGACGTTTTCCTGCATCAACGCAGCGAGATCCTGTCTTCCACGTTCGGTATAGCTCTGCATGATCCTGTCGAATTTGTCCACCCGCTCATTAGCCTTGGCTGATTCTGCCTCTACCAATTTACGCAAATCACGGATGGTTTCTCGAGTATTCCAGGAAGCCAGAGACGCTTCACAGAAGTTCAAGTACAACTCCGCGAAATCGTCGAGGCCCTGGAGCAGGTCGAGATTCATTGCAGGACAAATTTCGATTTTCTCCACCAAGGCTTCGATTCTGTCCCGCACCGCTCGAGATGACCGGCCTGTGCGGAGCAGATAGTGGAGCTTCCTGCATGAGGCCTTGAGGTCCTCCACTTCCTGAGCGAGATCTGTGGCTCGATTAACGAAAATCGGAGGGACGACGGTGAAAAGATAAACCTCCGACTGTCGTGATAGAAGAATACGAGTAAGCCCAGTGAAAATATTATGTTCTGCCGCCACATACAGAGCACAAGTTGATTTAACCCAATGTTCAATCCGAGCCGGTCTAGATCCATTACGATTCGCTGTATACCCGACATCCCTGCAGCACATATCTCATGTTCGGTGGAGATTAGCGGGATCCGTGGGACTGAAAGGCGCGAGCAGTATGTTATTACATGTAGCTGAGTCTCGAAGTTTCCGCACCTCCATAGCGCTCAAAAAAGCTAGTCAGTCTAGCTATATTCTCCGGAGTCTCAAGGCTTATGGCATGACGAAGCGCCCAAGCATCGCCAGCTGGAAATAAAGTTATCCATCAGAACTGAGCTCCTCGGGGTGCCGCGCGGCAGTGAAGGACTGATGGTAAAATAATACCTTTATAACCCCTGTATATAGATTGGAGCAGCGCAGGTAACGGTTGTCGATACCGAATTGGCAATGGCTTTCGTGGAGGGATCGCGTACCGGTACGATGCTGGAAGCAGGGGTTCCTGCGGCCACTCGGGGCATGCAAAGAGATGGGATATGAACCGGGCGCTGAGCTGGGCGATATATTCGTGGCCAAAGTACGGGTCGGTCGCGGTCATACTAAACGGTGGCGGCCCGAATTGGAATGTCGAGTGGGGAGCATTGATGGGGAGGACGGACATGCCGGGGCGAGGCTGGAGTTCAGGGGATGGCAGTCGTCTCTTCGGGCTGCAAGATCCTGAAGGAGGCGGTAGACAGGAAGCTAAACGTTTACGGCCGTGCACAGGTTTGGCAAAACATGAATGCGGCCCGAGCCGCCGGGTTTGACAACTCGAATGACATCCAGAGCAAGTCCACAGCCTCGTCCACAGCTTCCACAGCAACCGTGCATAGATACGCAAGTCGCTAGTCATGGGCCCTACAGTCCTTCTGCTTCCTCGATCTTGGTGGACGCCAGTTCGCTACTGTACTCCAACTCAACTTGTCCGACTCTCAGCCTAATCTCCGGGGTCATGGTAAGTGAGAGAAATGAACGCACCGCTATCCAATTTTCATGTGGCTCAAGGCAAGCCGTGCGGGCGGAGCTACAGCACATTCCGTCCACCAGCTAGCAACTTTGGGAGCACTGATGGCTGAAACGGTCTCCCAAGCGAAGACGTGGGATTGGATGCGCTCAATTCGTCAGTCAGATTCTTTGCAGTTGATGAACACAAACCTCAATTCTCTCGCCATCATAGTGAGGACCCTAGCGCAGCTTTCAGTTGCCGACTAACATGTATCCGATTTCCAGGCCACTTTCCTCGCCGCTGTACAGGCCCAGGCAATTAGCTTCTCACTCGATAGGGATAAAACAAGAATACAGACCGCGTCCAACGCCCTTTTTTTCGCCGGGCTGTTCATTGACGTGGTAGGCGGCACCATCGCGATAGTGGGTTCGGTTCAACTGCAGCGCACCTACGGGCTCTTGAGGCAAAGAGAGTCGTCCCTGGCCGGTCTCAAAGACGCGCTGAAAATCTTGTCTGCAACACCTGAGGCACAGGATCCCCTCGCGCTTGTCCACCATCTGCATTACTTGGAGCGGGTGATATTCCCCCTGCTCCACAGCCCTAGATTATGGAATTCCCTGTCCCAGCCCCTCAGACAGTCAGCGGATCTCGTGGAGCAGGTACTCAAGGAGTACCAGTTTGAGGACCACCTCCGGATCTCCTTCGCGTATGCGCTTTCCGACTACCGCCACACAACGAATCGGCTCGCGAGCTCCAGGTTTCGTACAAGTTTGGGATTCGCTGCGAGTTTGACTGTGCCGCCGCTCGTCATCGCGGGGCTTTGCTGCTTCATGGCGGGCGCATTGTGTCTTGTGCTGGATAGTCAGCCAGTTGGGGTGTGGGCGACGTCGTGTGGGGTTCTGGGAGGTACATTTATTCTGCTATTGACAGTCCTTGCGTTCATTATCGGAGTGGATCCTCGGCCGATTAACCTACCATTCAGCGATGTATGACTCGGTATTGAGTGGAGTGGCGGCCTGCATTACGAACAATGAAATTATATCCTTCATCCATACAATGGACCCATCCCGTAGATGCATCGGATAACCAAGCCTGTCTGGATCGGGAGCATTGTTTCCAAGAAACCGTACCAGGGTCATGAATTCCGGCTGAATTCGTCTGAGCAAAGGACATATGGAGCAGGCGGCAGAAGGGAGGAAAAAATCACAGAGGTTCAACGAATTGGCTGTATTCTCTGCCGTCAGTCAACGAGCGGGAATATCCGTAGGACCAAAATTACCGGTGGTGAGAGGTAGAAAATCTGCGGCACGGTGGCGGTGCTACATCATGATTGGATCAATCCTATCACCGTGACCCTCGGAAAAAGATGGTTCTTCAGAGACGCCCAGGCGGGATGTTCTGCATATCGTCCTTCTCCGTGCTCTATCGACGTCAGACTAATAATTAAGTAGCCCGCTGCGCGGCAATGCCCGCTATCTATCTCTTACTGTTCGTTGTACTTTTGCGCACACACACCGTGACACCGAGACTAATATGATTCGGGGATTCAGCGGCCCAATAGTAAAATGCAACAGCCAATGCAGATCGTACATATGCACAAAATAAATTATCGGTATAGTAATAGTACATCAAGAGGAAAAGGAAATCACAAGTACTAGTAGCATTCATGCGGAGTTCAAGAGTTCACGCAGTGCAACGCGCGCTCGACGCTGGTTGCACTCTCTCGCTGGAAGCTGTTGCTAATCAAGGGGGTCTCTCAGGACCGGGATCACATACATTGGCACAAGCACCGGACATAATGTGAGTCAGCAATGAATGGTGTGCCTGAGATGAAGGAACACCAGAATCGTGAGATATGTGATGATCGCGCAACAACGAGGACAATAGGGCAGGAAGAGCGGAAAATATATTTGAAGAAGGTTCCGAGGAAAGTAGGAGTTGGTCATGGGAGATGACATTAGATGAGGAGCGGTCAGTGAGG